AATAAATAAATTCATGTGGAGATTCACACCAGCTGCCAGTCTAAAGTTAAGCAGAGATATATTACCACAGAGAGAGTAAAGAAGAGAGGTGATACCATGAGTATCTACCTCTTAAGAGGTGAGAATCATCCTTGGAAAGATTTCAGGAAGCTATGGAGGAAACTGGGGGAGAGGAGGATGGTAGGGAAATATAATGAATCAAGCAGATGGTGTTTGTTTTTGATATGGAAAGGAAAGAGCTCTGAGCAGTTGAGGAGAGGAATCATAGAGTCAGAGCCACAAAAGAGGGCAATAATTCAGGAAGCAGATTTTTGGACATCAGTGACACCACAGAACAGTGGCAACAGGGAGCCACAGAAAATGTTGCATGAAACCTTTCTAGAGGAGAAAATGGTCAAAGCGCAAGACAGTTTTAGCATATTTGTTTCATTCCAAACAGATATACCAGGTGATTCAAGGACTAGATAACCCTGAGGTGGTGAAGGATAATTTGCATTACAGTACAGTGGAAAATAAAAGGTTTACAGTTTTATAGAGAACAACAGAGAAGAGGATACAAGCAAAGGCAAATTCTCACATTCTATGCACAATATTTGCATATATATCAGAAGAACCTCCTCTCTGCCCTAAAGGCTCTTACCATTAGTGGAAAGATAATGGCAGCTGCAGTTGACTTAATAATCCACAGAATAGCCAGGCAAAGGATCTGAATGAAGGTGAAGAGATGGACTTGGCGCAGTGGAACATGGCGGAGGTAGATAAAGTCAGGCTGGTGTTTAGCAGGCATCAGTAGGAGCTGGAGTCGGTCTGTGAACTGAAAACAAGGAACCTATGGAGTACTTTCCTGGGCACTGAATATTCCATGGAGGAACATCCTACACGAGAGCAGGACAAGCGATCACAAATTACAATGCACCTTGATTACTTTTTTTTAATATAAAGAACTTCAAGGAGCCTGAGGTTTTCTAAATATAAAGAACATTGAGCTGAAAATACTAAATTGTCCATATTAAATCGTAGAGCCCCCTGAAGTAGGTATACTGTTTTACAGTGGGAAGTTAAGAGTCAGCTGGAAAGTTTTTCATTCATATCTTGGCTCAGTTACGAATTCACTATGTAGCTTTCCCGGGTAAGCCTCTATTCACTTAGCCTCCACCCTTCGGTATGCATTATGGATTGATCACAATAATACTGGCTACCACACAAGGCAATTGCAGGGTTACTGAAGTGGCATCCATGAAGCACTGCAAATTCCTTTGCTCTTCCGAGCCCTATTTTAAGTTGCAGGGTTTCTAATGAGTCTGAGGAGAAAGACAGATGTTAAAGAATGAGAAAGCTCACAGCTGCAAGTTGAGCCCAACTTCCTCCAAGGTTCACAGTGATTTCAGTGGGTCATAGGCCTTTGCTTCCCTCACATTTTTATAAATGCAATATATACTTTTTTCCACCACTGGATATACAAAGAATATTTTAAATGGAGTATGTAAAGATAGAAATAGCATTTTTTTTCTAATTAAATATAATTTAAAATATAATTTAAAATTCCATTCTGAAGGAAATCAACCCTGAATGCTCACTGGAAGGACAGATCTTGAAGCGGAGGCTCCAATACTTTGTCCATCTCATGAGAAGAGAAGACTCCCTGGCAAAGACCCTGATGTTGGGAAAGTGTGAAGGCAAGAGGAGAAGGGGACAACAGAGGACAAGATGGCTGGAC